GTCCTCCCCTCGCGCTGGGGACAAGGATAACCCCGGGAAAGAGCTCGGATGGCTAAATGGAGGGGACTCTGTCGGGTCCCCGTATAACCCCCGGCACTTTTCTGGCAAGCCAGGTCTTCTCTGCTGAGCAACCATCAAGTCTAGGAAACGCCATCTCTGGTCCTGGAAGCTCAAGATGGGATGCTCCCTCGCCAGGGAAAGCGTAAGGCAGGCCCCCGCACGCAGAAAACCATCACCTCAGGGAGTAGGCTTTCTCCCTGACATGCTAGGTTTCTGCAAGTGGGGAAGATTATTTAACCAGGGGCCCTGAGTCACGCAAGGCCCTGGGTTGCGGCGATGTCAAGGAGAAGCAGAAGTATTGAAAGCAGATCCAGATCTCCGTCCCACCCGGGATCCTCTGAAAGGGGAGCAGGGCCAGAGCAACAGCAAACACGAATGCAAACGGGGACGGCAGAAGCAGAAGGAAATGGCGGCCTCATTATTTACCGGCAACCTCTTCAAAGCGCCCGAGCAGCCCTCTTGCTGGAGAAGGGCCGACAACGGCCTGGAACAAAGGCTCGCGGCTGCTCGGACCAGGCACGAGAAGCTGGAGCGTTTCGGCAAATAAGTGGACGGGTTTTCTTTCGAGCTCCCCAGCCTCTCGTCTCCCTTCTCCAGGCTGGGGCAGCTGTTCACCCCCCGCCTCCGCTGCGATCGGCCAGGAGGCCTCCAGCACCACCTTCTCCAGGCTGGGAGAAGATGCCCCGAAGCTTTCCCGGCCCCCCACTTCAGGAGGCCCCGAGGCCCTCTCCCCACGGGCTCCTCCTGCAATGCGGCAGGTGCCTCTCCATTGTCCAGGGAGACGTTCCCACGGGGAGCATCCAGCAGTCATCTGCCCTCACGCCTTTGCACCATTTAGACGTGGCGTCCCCCTACCCACCCCAGGACCCTGGGGAAGACCTGTGCTGGGGAGGGCCTCCCTGGGCCACGGGCCCCGCGACCCCTCCTCCCCTCGCTCGCCCCCCCCGGGTCCCTTTGTTTCTCAAGGGCCTGGCGCAGCCCGAAGCACCTCGAGCCTTCTCTGGGCAAGGCCTGACGACAATTTGTCATTCAGCAAACAAGCCCTTAGCAACCAGAGCCAAATGCCCTGGCAACCAGCCCTCAGCCTAAACACGGGAAATCTATTTCAATTTTGTTTTGAGCGGCTCTCGCCGACGAGGACGCCACAGAGGGGCCCAAAACATCTGCACGTGCCCTGGACCAAAAGAGGCGGTTTGGGCCCTCCGCACCAGCTTCGAGGTGGCTCTGGACCCAGCGACACCCGGCCCTCCAGGCGCCGTTGGGGCTCTCTACGTGGCGGAGAACTGTGGCGCAGAGCGGTTAGTGCTCCCTAATCAAAATAGGGCCCTCCGAATTGCTCTTTTAAGAGTTCTACGTAGCTCAGAAGTTGACATCAGATCCTCTGTCCCATCCCTTTAACAGCCCTCTCGATTTGAGACGTGGGTTTATTCCCCAAGAAGCAGAAGAGCTAACCTTTGGGGTACAGAGACAGAGTCCATTTGCAGCCAGACCTCCATGAGCCGGGCAATGGAAAAGGGTCCCACCCAGGCGCCACCCAAGCCCCTCTTGTCCCTGCCCATTCTCAAGAAGGGACAGTGTGTTCAGGTTGCATTCACACAACACGCTTGACCTGTTCTGGTCCATTTTCTGGGTTCACTCAGGACACTCAATCAGGAATCAGCTAACTGGGTTGGCTTAACAAGAACCAAGTTTAGGACGCCATGCAAATTTGGCCCCAGGTCTCTCAGCTGATCTGTTCAGGGGGTGAAGCCAGTTCAGCCATACGTTAGCCACCTTGCAGGAATCGGTCATCTGAATTCAAGGGGAAGACCAACCGTGT